TTAAGAACACATATACATGTTTCCAATTTGGTGAAGATTATAGTTGGGTTTGTAAATACATATCATTGTTCCCATGCCGTCAAAAAGATGTTACTTGAAGTAACATCTTTTTGTCCCCACTACTGTAGTGGGGAGGGAGCCGCACGTGACAAAGCCCCTGCACCGTACTTCTTTAGCATACTTTGATCCACGGAAGACCATACCACTTGTAGTTCCTCCGATTCACGCTGATGAGGAAAGACGACAGACCATGCAGGAGCCTTCAAAATGTGGGCAATGCCGAGACAATCGCTCGCATACTCATCATTGAGTCCACCGGCGCAACGTACGAAGGCAAAAGTCTGAGCTACAGGCAACTCATGAGTTCTAAGTTCAGCCAGAGAAGAAGCTTTATTAGCCGTCCCATCTTTATAGAGAATTATCCTTTTTGAATAGATCCTAGGGCCCGCTTCACCTCCTTGGTCGATACATATATTAACCGCCTTAGTATAACGATGCTCTTTCCCTCTCATTCTATCCCAAACATCCTGATCGCTAGGACTCAAGTTGACGCTCTTTCCCAGCAGCATTGAGCCTTGTGAACAGGACCCGCAGCTCGCAGTTCGGCAGATTCACGGGCACTCTTATTGGCTGGTCCTGCGACTCTCGTGTTACACGCCGCCCCTTTGCGGAATCTAGGTAATGTTGCAGGGCATTTTCGTGCGGGGTACCACGATGGAGCTCGATGGCATGCCGTACATCTGAGTACAATGGATGCCCGCCCCGATGAGGAAATTCGCTGGTGGTGATTTACCACTGGTAAATCACAGTCCTCCTGGAAGCACATAGGACAATCATTCGGGGGTCTATCTAGAGCAGCGACAGCGTATGCTTCGTGCTTTCCGAGGTGTGGACGCTCAGATTCAGGGAGATCTTCGAGCGAGTGAGCGAGAATAAGTACCTGAAAAGTTTTGAGTGGAAATGGCACTTTCCATCAGATTCAAAGAATTCTATTGCAATGTATTTACGATGTAAATTTTACATTATACTGATCGGCGAACAGGGCTTGCCGAGAATGCCAAATTACTAGATAATATCTAGTCTAGATATACAGCGAATTACACATGAATTTCACGCCCCGAAATACATGGGAACAATTCCTACCAAGTATTACTTGACATCCTTCCAACTGCAGTAGATCCATAGCTTTTTTATAATATAACATGACGTCCCCAGAATTCTCATCTCGTTGTTAGAGAAATACGCGAATGCAATTTACTCAGTGACACTGAGTCAATGTATCGTAAACTGTGTATGCGCATGGGAAGAGAAAAAGGTGTAGGTGTCCCACTACTCGGAATGAATAATCTGGGGTGAATCACCCCGGGTGATTCCTTTAATTGTTGGTACTCTGCTATCGAAGCCTTTCTTCCCGGATATGATACATTGGTGAGGCCTCTGTCTTCAAGCACTCTCTGTGCATCGGTGTATCAAGAACCTGAACAGGAAGGGAGAACCATTATCGTCTGCCTCAAACTGATTCCAGGCGAAAGAGAGTAGCGGTGCTACTGTAGCACCAAGAGCTATCATGTGGGTCTAGATTGCGAGTATTGGAACAACGCAACAGCTCTGCCGCACCATGCTTACTCTTCTCCGCTTTAGCTCCGATGCCGACGGCGGTCTAGATTCATAGCCACTAGGGCATTTCTCAACCAAGCTGCAGATCTCCGCAGAGTTGACGAATTTGTGTGCTTAAGAAAAC